TGTGGGTGATCAGGCAAGTAGGGGAGGGCAGTTAGGAAGCACCAGGTCTGCAAGGGAGGGTAGTTGAGAGGGACCAGGCTTGCAAGGGAGGGCAGTTGAAGGTGATCAACCCTGCAGGGGAGGGCAGTTAAGGGTGAACAGATCAGCAGAGGAGGGAAGTTGGGGGCAAATGGGCTGGCAGGGGAGCAGTTAGACATCAATCAGGCTGGCATGGGAGTAGTTATGGGATGATCAGGCTGACAGGCAGAAGCAGTTAGGGGCAATCAGGAAGGCAGGCAGGTGAGCAGTTGGGAGCCAGCAGTCCTGGATTGTGAGAGGGATGACCAACTGCCCATTTAGGCCCAATCCCACCGAGCAGTCAGACATCCCTTGAGGAGTCCCACATTGGAGAGTGTGCAGGCTGGGCTGAGGGACAACCTCCCCCCTTACCCCCATGCATGAATTTCATGCACTGGGCCTCTAGTAAATATATAATGGTATATAACATTTTCCTTAAATGGAAAATTACCTATCAGAAGCTGAAATTGGAGAAAGGAATAGCATTTCAGCAACAAAGACTACTAAATACTTAGGAAAATCCTAAAAAGTAATAGGAATTACTTAACTGAAGAAACTTATGAAATTTGATTAACAAACATAAAAATAAGCAAAATGAAGACATATCTTATTCATCGAAGGAACCTCTCAATGTGAAGATATCAAAGTTCCTCAAATTAATTTGTGTATTTACTGCAATTACAATACAAATTCCAAATACTTATTATTTGCTTCTTGTTACTCAATTTGGAACTCAATTAATAAGCATAAATGCACTTACTAATATGTTCATAAAAAGAAAGTTAGAAATTGTTAGTAGTGGCTGGGAATGGAAAATATATTACTTTATAAATTTCCTTATTGTTTTGAATATTTTAACCACTAATAAATATTACTATTATTACCAGGAAAAAAAACACACAAATTCTTCATCTGAACTATTATATATAACACAGATTCTCTAGGTCATTGTATTGATTCTGTCTATCTGTGGTAGTAGTCACAGACCTCTTGAGAAACTGATGAGCTCAATGACCTCTGTTTTTGGAAAGTCAATGCACACGTATACTCACAAGCAAAACCTTGCATAGAATTTCAGATGACCACAGAGGTAGCCAGTTGAGAATGCCTACTCTAGGTTAATCAGTGTGGTCAGTGGGGCACCACATATATTTGGTTGTGGGAGCTCCAAAGTGGGTGTGGGCTGCAGGTCATGACCCTGAAACAAGGCTAGGTTCTCCATGAGTGTCAGAGGTGAGAAGAGGCTGTACTTCTCAAGCCAGGTGGTAGCAGCAGACAGTATTAAGAGCAATGTTAACTTTTGCACCTTGAAGGAGGGCAGTGCAGGCAGGCCTGGGTGCTTCCCCCAGCAATCACTTCTCCAGGTTTTATGGAAACCCACAATTGCAGGGGTAGGTGGGAACAGCAATCTCTCCTATGCATTCCTGAGTCACCTGTGTGCGAATTTAGGGGAGAGAAGGATGGAAGAAGCCAAAGGCATTTACTCAGTTTGGTCACCTGAATAAAGGTGGCATTTATCATGTTGGTCACATGTTTATGTATACCTCTAAGTCAGCAACAGAGTCAGGTGCCTGACTGCAGGAGATGAGAAGCTCTGGCAGATGGGAGTGGGTAGAGAAGAAGCACCTTCCCCTGTCCTCTTGAGGATTTGACTATCTCTGCACCTCTCACATCAGTCATTTCCTTGGCCTGACACCACTTCCTTTTGCCCAGAGCTGAATCACAAAACTGGAAACCAATCCAAGAACAGGTGTTCAAAACTGCCAGGGTAACAGCCATCAAGTTACAGGAGGTTCACAGTAAGCAGTGATTTGGGAACATTAAATAAATGTGCTCTCTAACAACAAGACAGGATCATTTATTTGTCCGACTTAAAAGGTGTCCCAGAAAGAGAAAAAGAAGTATATTATTTGTCCAAAGTGAGATCGGACAAGTGAACATCTCTCCATGGGCCAATTTACAGATCATATGGAAACATGTTTATCAGAGAAATTCCATTTTAGATGTTTAAATACCATAGCGTATTTTGAAAACTATATCCCACTTGGCCAATAGAATTCATTTTCTATGTGGTAAAAATGAACCAATATTAATGGTGCCTTCCAGTTTTAGTGTGAAATCTTTTTTATAAAACACCCACTCTTTTTTTGTTGCTGCTTCCCACTCCAAACTCTTGTGCATTCTTACTATTAAATGAAGGGTGGTGATAGCTTTAAAAACAAAACCAAGGAATGTCATAGAAGTATAGCCCCCACTCCCACCTCTTGTCTCCTTTCCTATACACTGTCCCTTACCTATACAGGGGGAATGATGGGCATCAAGTGACCAGGAATTGGAGGTGGAGCGAGAGGAGAGTGTCCAGTTGCCTGAAAGAGAATGAGACAATTCCCCAACAACAACAACAAAAGGTTAAAATCGTCAATAACCCCAGAAGATATATCTCCCAGCCCTGTAGCCAGAGAAAGGCAAATTCTAACACATGGAAAGGGGACTACTGTTGGCTTCTGGGACTACAAAAACAAAACAAACAAAAAATGAGTGACGGGACTTAATGTGGTAGGGTAAGGTGAGAGTGGGGGTAAAGGAGGAGGCTAGTGCTTTTGTTGGGAGTGGAAACTGGAGAGTCAAGCTTACTGGTGACGCGACCCTCACGTGACTAGGAGCTGACGTGGGCAAAGGTACTTAAAACCCTGACCGCTGTTCTCCGTCCTCCTCTGGGTACCAACTCTATTTCGCTGCGCTCTGCCTTGCGTTTAACCCAGGCGAGGAGGAGGAGAACATTCCCCCAGATCCGGGCAGGTGGGTGTGAGGGTGGGCATGACCTGGCACTCCTGAAAAGCGTAGTCCCTAGATGCGGGAGTTTGAGGCCACGGGCACCACCGCCTCCCGCTCCTGGCCGGCTTTCCACACTCCCGCGCTCGGTCGCATTTCATGGTGGTGGGCGGCGGGAGCTGGGGAGGAGGAGACTTAAGGAATGATACACTTGGGGAGGATCCGCTTAATTCCTCTCCCAACCAATGTGCTTTGGTTTTGGTTTTGACACCCAGGCTCTGCACCCTACAACCCATCTTGTTTTGAGAGGGGCTGGGAAGGGAAATTAACGTAGCAGCGCGATAAGGCCAGTGGAGAGGTTGGGAGAGGGTAACCGGAGGGACACTTTTTTTGGAAACAATCTGGCAGGTTCACTCCCACCCTCACTTTGCACATACCTTCCCACATCCCACCATCATCCCTGAACCCTTCCCTTCTTCCCCAGTCCCCTCCGACTATGTGTCTTTTGGGGTTGCTGGGAAATGGGTGTGCCAGCCTCTGTCAGGGAGATGGAGAGTTTGGCGCCGGGCTTCACAGGAGGGGGAGCCCTGAAAGAATCTGATATAAAACCGCGGTGCTAACTCCCAGGCTGCTTTTCAGATACCTTCAGCCCACATAGTCCTTCACCTCCGTTTTGCAGTCCTGGAAAAGAAGTTCGGTTATCCTGGCAGGAGAAATGGCGGTTAGCGTGGTATTTGGGTGTGTGGGGGCGGGAGGGGGCCGGTGGGGGGCGGATCCCAGATCCAGCGGAGAAACTGGAAAATCACTACACTCAGACACCGGGGTTCCTGTTCTGCAGGTTAACACTAGGCGTGGGGGGCTGGGGACTGAAGGACGAGTGGTCACAGGGGAGGGACAAGATTGCTTGTCAGTAATGCCTGGTCCCACGACTCCTCCAGCTCTCACTGCATACTCGCCCCGCCCCCCTCCTGCCGCAGCAGCGCTCGAGAAGGGGTGTGGCTGTCTGTCCCGAAGAAATGGCGGACAGGGGGACGGGCCAAAGAGAAGGAGGGGTTGAGTGCCTGGGGAGACTGCGCTGGAGTTGGAGATTGGGGTGGTAAGGGGTGGGGAGGTAAGAAGAACTGAGAAAATTGGGAGGTGGACCCATTTGTCATTCTCCTTTGTAACTGCTAAAAGGCAATTGTGGGGACGTGTCCTGGGTTTGTTACATTCACTAGGCTCCAAAGTCGACTGTCTATATTTCTGCTCTGCAGTCTGCCCTTAAGATGAAGCTCTAACTGAACTGAAGGAGGAAGACATATCCCTGAATCTATCAGGTTAGTGTGGGGATGAGAACTGTGGGAACTCCTGGTGTAGGTGTGTCAGAAACTAGAGTAGATCTGTGATCAGAGGTTCCTCTCCCCCCGTCTTCTTTACAGGACAACCTTCCCCTGGTCCTGTCCTTTCAATTCAGAGAAAGGGGTGTGGCATCCCCCTTCTTAATTAATGGTGAGAGAAGGAAGGGATACGGGTGGAAAGAAGAGGCCTGTGAGGGAGAAACGTGGCCCACAGGGGTTCAAATTAGGAAATGAAGTAGAATCCATCTACCAAAGGCCCCAAAACACCCTTTCTGTGATCTCCCCACAGGTCTGTCTGCCTTTTGGACCATACACAACGATAAGCCTGTTGGAAAAGGACAAACTGCTCCTCCTCCCAACAGACTGGTATGTGAATGAGCACCATTTGGAGGCCCTTGGGGTCATGGGGAGAAATTCAGTGTAGAATCTAGCATCCCTGAGTTGTCTACTCTCCACCAGCTTTACTGATGTCAGTACTGCCTCTCATTCTCCATTTAAGTGCTGGGAAAGTATGCTTTGGCATTGGGCAGGCTACGGGTGAAGATGTAGAAAACAATGGATAACCAGGGTCTTGAATCAGCAAACACAGGCCTGGACATCTGTGTCTGAGTACTAGTCAAACTCACCAAGCATTATGTTCCCCAAACTCTCCTGTAAGTAGGCCTGGTTAGGCACAAAGTGAGCCAGAGCCCTAAGCCTCATTTCTGTCCTTTACCTCAGGTCCTGCTTGGCTTGCAACCTCTGCAGAACTTGTGAGCCTTGCCCTTACGGGCACACATCCTGCTTGGGCAAGCTAGCTCCACATCCCGATCAGAGAATCATTCGAGCTGCATCATGAGCCGAGTTCGGGATGCTGGCTGTGTAGCTGCTGGGATATTGATTGGGGCAAGTGCCTGGTACTGTGTCTACAAATACACCAGGAGAAGAAACCAGACAAAGAAAAGACTGGCTAAGCCTAAGACCAGGGCTCTGGCAGGGACTGGAGCCAGGGCTAGATCCGGACTAAGAGCTGGATTCACAATTGACCTTGGGTCAGGATTTCATCCTCCAACTCCAGTATGTACTGGGGCAGAGGACAAGGCCCAGAATGAAGCCTCTACCCTGTACACAGATGCAGCTGAGGTAGTTGCCCCAGCTGCATTCAGTGCTGAGGCTCAGAGTGAGGCTGTAAGTCAGGCCCTGGAGACAGAAGGGGCCTGGGTTGGGCCTCAGTCCGAATCAGTAGTTGGGGCGGGAGTGGCTTCTACAATGGCACCACCTCAAGGGGAGGCAGAGGCCCTCATAGCTGCAGAGGTCCCCTCAATGGCCAGAGCTCCCAAAATGACAGATGCCCCTGGCACAACAGAAGTTCCTCGGATGCCTGTGGTGCCTCTCGGGACTCCAGCACCTACTGAGGCAGCAGCACCTACAGAAGCAGCAGAGGCTCCTGCACTTTCTGAGGATGTAGAGGCTCTGGGAACCTTGAGGTCCCCTAAAACAGCAGCAGCCACCAAGAAAGCAACTCCTGGGTCTCATACTGGGGCTATACCTAAAGCTGGGTCAGCAACTGGAGCTGTACCCAAGGGTGGAGCTGGAGCTGTACCCAGGTCCTGGATTGGAGACAAGGGAAAGGAAAAGAAAAACAGCAATGTTGAAGTAGATCAATTGGGGCTGGGATTCCGCCCTGGGGATGGGGCTGCAGCAGCTGCTGCAGCCTCCGCTAATGGAGGACAGGCTTTCCTGGCAGAGGTCCCTGATTCTGAGGAAGGGGAATCTGGGTGGACTGACACAGAGTCAGAGTCAGACTCTGAGCCTGAGAACCAGCAAAGAGAAAGAGGGAGGATATTCATTCCCATGCAGAAGCGCCCCTTTCCTTATGATATTGATGAGATTCTGGGTGTCCATGATCTCAGGAAAGTACTTGCTTTGCTTCAGAAATCAGATGATCCTTTCATCCAGCAGGTAGCTTTGCTCACTCTGAGCAACAATGCCAGTTATTCATGCAACCAAGACACAATTCGCAAATTGGGAGGCCTCCCAATTATTGCAAACATGATCAACAAATCCGATCCCCACATTAAGGAAAAAGCCTTAATGGCCATGAATAACCTGAGTGGGAATTATGAAAATCAGAGCCGGCTTCAGGTATACATGAATAAAGTGATGGATGATATCATGGCCTCAAACCTGAACTCAGCAGTACAGGTAGTTGGGCTAAAATTTTTAACAAATATGACTACTACTAATGACTACCAGCACCTGCTTGCCAATTCGATTGCAAACTTTTTTCGTTTGTTATCTCAGGGAGGTGGAAAAATCAAGGTTGAGATTTTGAAAATACTTTCAAATTTTGCTGAAAATCCAGATATGTTAAAAAAGCTGCTCAGTGCCCAAGTGCCATCATCATTTAGTTCCCTTTATAATTCTTATGTGGAATCAGAAATTCTTATTAATGCTCTTACTCTATTTGAGATCATCTATGACAATCTCAGAGCTGAAGTATTCAACTACAGAGAATTCAATAAAGGTTCTCTTTTTTTCTTATGCACTGCATCTGGAGTGTGTGTTAAGAAAATTCGAGCCTTAGCAGATCACCATGACCTCTTGGTGAAAGTGAAAGTTACAAAACTAGTTGAAAAATTCTGATTGGCTATGTGCTCTCAAAAGACTTGAAAACATTTCTTTGTTTTGCAGTCTGGAAGCAATGAAAATTGTAAGTTACTGCTTCTCTACTTGATCATATAGTAAAGTGATTCTTTCAGCTGCCAGTTTTGAATAATGTATCATCCAGAGTGATATTATCTGTGATAGTCTCCAGCTTTAAGCTGAACCATTTGATGAATACCAAATAAATAGTCCTCTTGTACTGAAAACACATTTGTGACTTTAATTATGCTGCTTGAATGGAAATATTTTTATTGGTTCCTCTGTGAATTGACAGTGAACTTATCTGTTATTAATAGCCTACACTTCTATCGTTTGTTTTTATTTGAATCTACCCACCAAAGACTTCATTTGTGTATCATCAATAAAGTTGTGTGTTTTGACTAAAAAAAAAAATTGTTCTCGTGCTTCCATTTAAAATCTAACCGGAGAGATAAGGTGCATAAATTCAAAAGGATTGCTAACAGTATCTAAGCACATGCCCATTGTGAAATATGTTGTCTGGCTAAATGAAGCAGAAGTTGCTAGAAAGCTTCAAAGAAGAAAGGAACACTTAAGCTGGGCCCTGAAGAACAGCATGAGAAAACAAGGGCATCCAGGAAGTGGGAAATGGCTTGAAGAAAGGCACAGAGGTGGTAAATATGTTCCTGTGATAAGAAGGTAGCCAGATTGACTGGAATGGAAGCTGTAGGAAGAGGAGTAATAAAAGAAAAGGTGGAAATTTAGGGAGATAAAAGTTTGGAGAAGATCCTGACCCCAAGTTGAGATATTGAAATATTACCCTGTCATATTCTGGGAGTTACTGGATATTTTAGACAAAAATAATCTGGTGGCAATGTGCAAAACAGATTGAAGCTGGTCTGGAGTTAGATGTGGAGACTGGAAACAAGAACACTTGTTAGGAACTTATAATAAATCAAGCATGAGCTGATGAAGAGTAAAATAGGGTGATGACTATAGCAACTGGTAGGGAATGATGGTGATAAAATACTCTTACCAAAGAAATACCAAGATCTGGTGTCTTATTTGACTGTAAGTTGACAAAGGGAGGATTGTATAATCTGGTGCAGGTCCTAACAGAGAAAATTATCTTTCTTGGGCAATTCTGGTGACCATGTAATGCCAAAGTGAATTATCATTATTAATGTTGAGAAAAAGCATTGTGACAGATAGAATGATTTTTGGTGCAAAGAGTGTTTTCCCCCTTTGGGTTAGAGGTCTAGGGCTGCCTTCTTTTAGAAGAGGAGCATGTGGTCAGACTTTTATGAGAATGCTACAATGCACTCCTGAGTTCACTTAAAAGCAGATCCATCTTCCTTCCTCTCCTCACTGGCCCAATAAAACAATGAAAGAAGAAAATGGGAAAGGTCCCAGAAATTAAAACAAAACAAAACAAAAAAACCAGCCCACTTTCTTGCCACTCATTACAAAATCCTCATTAGTGTTCAAGTCTGTGGTTGGCTCTGGCAGTGGTAGAAATAGGGACTCTGGGGAAGTGGGCACATAGAAAAGGGACAGATTTGCTTTATATACTGGTACAACTTATCTGGAAGACCATTTGGTAATCTTCATAAGAAGCTTTAAAGATGTACATGCCTTTCAACAAAGCATTCCACTGGTAGGATTTTTTCCAAAAGAAATAATCAAATAATTGTACACAGAAAGATATATAAATATGTTCATTTGAGCACTGTTTCTAAGAGAGAAAAATTACAAGCAACTTAAATGTCTAACACTATGAAATTAGCTAAAGAATAAGTAGTATGCCCACACAATGAAATATTATGCAACTATAAAAACTATTATACTTTTATAATATTGGAATGAAAAGACATTTGTTTGCCAATTGTGTCTGTTGGTGGATTTACAGGCAAGTTTTGCCAAATATTCCAATTAGAGCTAACATCTAATTCTTCAAACTATTCCAAAAAATCCAAGAGGAAAGAAAACTTCCAAGATCTTTTTATGAGGACAGCATTATCCTAATTCCAAAACAAGATAAAGACACTAAAAAGAAAGAGAATTACAGGCCAATATCCCTGATGAACATAGATGCTAAAATTCTCTATAAAATATTAGCAAATAGAATCCACCAATATATTTAAAAAAAACCATACACCATAACCAAGTTGTATATTTTGACTAAAAAAAAATTTGTTCTCGTGCTTCCATTTAAAATCTAACTGGAGAGATAAGGTGCATAAATACAAAAGGATTGCTAACAGTATCTAAGCACATGCCCAGGATGCAAGGCTGGTACAATATTCACAAATTAATTAACATTTACATAACATAAATAAGTTGAAAAACAAAAATCACATATCATATCAATAGACACAGAAAAAGCATTCAACAAAATCTAACACCCATCTATAATAATAAAAATATAATATGCTAATTAGACTGAATGTCCTTCCGTATGAAGCTGGGGCTGCAAGGGAAGCCTGGGTACTGGGTGCCAGAAGGAGGCTGATGCTGACAGCCGGGGGAAGGAAGGCTTGCTCTTGCACGAATTTCTAGTTTTTTATAAAAACTCTCAGCAAAGTAGGAATAGAGGGAGCATATTTCAACATGATAAAGGTCATATATGACAAACCTACAGCAAACATCATACCCAATGGGCAAAAACTAAAAGCATTTTCCTTAAGAACAGGAACAAGACAGGGATGTGAGCTTTCACCACTCTTATTCAAAATAGGTCTGGAAGTCCTAGCCACAGCATTCAGACAAGAAGAAATAAAAGGTATCCAAATTGCCGAAACCGGTTTGGCTCAGTGGTAGAACATCGGTCTGCAGACTGAAAGGTCCCAGGTTCGATTCTGGTCAAGGGCATGTACATTGGTTGGGGGCACATCCCTGGTAGGAGGTGTGCAAGAGGCGGCTGGTCGATGTTTCTCTCTCATTGACGTTTCTAACTCTCCATCTCTCTCCCTTCCTCTCTGTAAAAAAATCAATAAACTGTATTTTTTTAAAAAAAGGTATCCAAATTGGAAAGGATAAAGTAAAACTCTCATTATTTGCAAAAGACATGAAATTGTACATAGAAAACCCTAAAGCCTTAGCTGGTTTGGCTCAGTGGGTACAGCATCAGCCTGTGGACTGAAGGGTCCCAAGTTCGATTCCTGTCAAGGGCACATGCCCAGGGTGCTGGCTTGATCACCAGTATGGGGTGTACAGGAGGCAGTGGTCAAGGATTCTCTCTCATCATTAATGATTCTATATCTCTCTCCCTCTTCCTTCCTCTCTAAAATCAATAAAAAAAATTTTTAAAGAAAACTCTAAAGACTTCACCAAAACACTATTAGATTTAATAAATGAATTTGGCAATGTAGCAGGATACAAAATCAACACGCAAAAATCAACACCTTTTTTATACACTAACTAGAGGCCTGGTGTATGAAAATTTATGCACTGGAGTTGGGAGGGGGTCCCTCAGCCTGGCCTGCCCCCTTTCACAGTTCAGGAGCCCTCAGGGGTGGGAGGTGACCCAGTGATCAGGGGAAGGTGATGCTCCATCACATGTCTGCTGCTGCCACTGATTACCTGAGCCTTGGGCAGACCTCGCAGCTGGGTAACCTCCATCCAAGGCTTGCCTCTGCCTTGAGCTGCTAGTGGACTGAGGGGACTGGGGGACTCTGGAGGCAGGTGTGCAGAGCAACTGGGCCCACCTGGGGGCGGGCTCCACCTTGCTGCATGTCTGCTGCCCTAGCAGGGTTGAGGAAACTGGGCACTGCCAGCTTGTGGCTATGGGGGCTGCCATCTTTGAGGGTGTGGCAGTAAATTAGCATATTCCCTCCTTATTGGCTGTGGGTACCACCATCTTTAAGGGTGGGGCAGTGAATTAGCATATTTCCTCCTTATTGGCTGTGGGCACTGCCATCTTTGAGAGTGGGTAGTCAATTAGCATATTCCCTCCTTATTGGCTGTGGGTGCCACCATCTTTGCAACAACGTGAGGGTCAATTAGCATATTCCCTCTTTACTAGATAGGATAATGAATTCTCAGAAAGAGAAACTAAGCAAATAATTCATTTTACCACTGCAACAACAACAAAAAATAAGATATTTAGGAATAAACTTAACCAAAGAAGTAAAACTCTGAAAACTATAGGTTTTTGAAAAAAGAGATAGAAAAGATATAAACAAGTAGAAGAATATACCATGTTTCATGGATTGGTAGAATCAACATCATTAAAATGTCCATACTACCTAAGGCAATCTACAGATTCAGTGCAATTCCTATTAAAATACCAATGGCATATTTCACAAATCTACAACAAATACTCCAAAAAAATGTATATGAAACCATAAAAAGACCCCAAATAGCTGCAACAATCTTGAGAAAGAAAACAAAGTTGGGGGAATCACAATACCAATTATCAAGTTATACTACAAAGCCACTATAATCAAAACAGCCTGGTACTGGCACAAGAACAGGTATATAGATCAATGGAACAGAACAGAGAACCCAAAAATCAACTCAAGCCATTACATTCAATATTTGACAAAGGAGGCAAGAGCATATGATGGATTCAACACAGTCTCTACAATAAATGATGTTAGTAAAATTGGACAGATAGCCCTAACAGGTTTGGCTCAATGGATAAAAGGGTCCTGGGGACTGAAGGGTCCCGGTTTGATTCTGGTCAAGAGCATGTACCTCGGTTGAAGGCTTCTCCCCAGTCTGGGCCCTGGTTGGGGTGCATGCAGGAGGCAACCAACCTATGTGTTTCTCTCACATTTATATTTCTCTCTGTCTTTCCCTCTCTCTTCCACTGCCTCTAAAAATCAATGGAAAAAATATCCTCAGGTGAAGATTTTTTTTTAAATGGGCAAAAGACCTAAGTAGACATTTCTCCAAAGTGGACATACAGATGGCCAAGAGACATATGAAAAAAATGGTCAAAGTCCCTGATTATCAGAGAGATGCAAATTAAAACAACAATGAGCTATCACCTCACACCTGTCACATGGCTCCATCAA